AGAAATGACCATGAAAACTTTGATTTATCTGAAAAGAGCTTAAAAAATGCAAAAAAAAAAAAAAAAAAGCTGAGAAAGTAGAATGTATGCATTCATCTAAAGTACTTTAGGAAAAGCACTTTACTTTCATCAGAAAAGAGGAAAGAGGAACCCGACAGTTGTAGTCCATCTCCCGGATGAGTCTGAATGTGGTGGTTTTTGAAGCTGTGACTCCGCCTCGTTCCACTCTTTCTGGATCTCTGACAGATTCTGGATCTTCTCTGTTTGATGATCCTCTGAAGCCCACGGTCATCTCTGTTGCTGGTGCATCTTCTCCTGCCACATGTTGTCCTTCCACTAGACTTTCCATTGAGATGCTTGGACACAGCGCTCTATGAACAGCCAGCCTCCTTAGCTATGAACTTTTGTGTCTTACCCATCCTATGGAGGGTTCACTGATGGTCTTCTGACCAGATGTTCTGTCTGCAGTCTTCTCCATATTGAACCAAACTGAGACAGTTGACTGACACCTGGGGAAACCTGTGCAGGTGATTTGAGTTTAGTAGATGATTCGTGTCACACTCAGTTTTAAACATTCATGTCCTGCAACATTTGGACTGATGTCTTCACAGTATTCTAATATTTTTTTATCATTTTTTTCGTGGGTTTCATGAGCTGGAAGCTCAAGTTATTTAAAAATAAACCAATAAATAGTTGAAATAGTTTAAATTGTGGGCCCTGAGTCTATCATCTATTGAAGATGAACTGTTTGAATGAGTTATGGAAGTTAAACAACTTTTCCATGATGTTCTAACGTTTTGGAAAGGGTCTGTATGTATAACAGACCGAGACGTTCCGTCTTTCTGTTCGTTCTTCAGGATCCTGCGAGTGACGGCAGACAGAAGATGAAACGTGTCGCAGAGGAAGAGGAGGAGGACGTTCTGAAAGGAAGAGCCGTGTCTCCGCCGTGGGACACGCATCTCCTCCCTCCGTCCTCTGACGGGGAGCGCGGGCCGGACGGTCCGGGTGTTGCAGTTCCTGAACCAGAACCGGTCCCAGAAGTGGCTCTGCAGCTCAGAAGCGTGACCGACGACGGGGATTACGAGGCTCTCCACGATGGTGCAGCGGGCAGCGCCTGGAGCGTGGCTTGTGATTCGGAGCAGAGCAGTCCGGACCGGAGCCTGGAGCAGACCTGGGCGGTGAGGGAGACTCTGGGTGCAGCTTCATCTCTGAGCAGAGAGTTTGACTTTAAGGAGCTGGAGAACGAGGAGAAGCTCGCTCAGCTGAAGGCCAAGTTCATGCAGGATCGTGCTGCTCTCAACAACCTGCTGTGTTGATCCCTGCAGCTCAGCCGTGACGCCAAACTCGGCTCACTGCGTCCCACTAAACTTTGTACAGACCAAAACCAGTCGGTAAGTTCCTTTACTGACTGTTTGCTGCTCAGTGAGTCGGGTCTTTATGGACGAAAAATGCAGATAAATTTGTTGGAGACCTTCCATGATGATGAATAACTTCCAGCTAACGTGAGTTTTGTCTCAGAAACTTCGGTTCTTGTCAACGCACAGTTTGGTGACTTGCTGCCGGACTGGTCGCCAGCGGTGGACTCTCCGTGTGACGATGACCTCGGAGTCGAGTTTGAAGTTTGAGTTGGTTTCTTCCGCTTTTTTTCTACCGACCACATCGTCCGTCTGATTCACGCTGGGCCGCATTTCCTCTTGCGTCCACGTCCTCGGACATTAGCTTCAGTCCTGTGAACCTGACGCGTAGCTGTGTTCAGGGGAACATGAAGCTACTTCTAGATGGTTTTTCAATTTCTAGTTTTTTTCTGAGAGCGAGCCGAGTAATTTAAAAACAAGGATCAGCCGAGTCCGGCATTTGCACAATTTAGCCTCTGCTACTTGGAAAAGGCTCAAGTGCTGTGTTCTGGCAGATGTGGTGTTGGATGAGATCTGTGCAGCCGCTCCGGTATCAGTAAGTGAACATGCCTGTGTCCGTCCTTCGATACGATGCTTGTGATCGGTCCACTTTGCTCTCTCCGCTCCGCGTTCATCAGAGCGGCCACCAGAACCAGAACGACCCGGAAGTCGTTTGTTTCCTTTAACTGGCCGAAGGAGCTCGAAGGCTCCTGCGATGCTCGCCGCGCTCAAACACGACTTTAACACAAATCTGTTCCCAATTTGAGTTTTTCTTTGTGCAATTAACAATAAATTTGACTTCCTTTTGTTTACTCGGACACTAAAGGTTTGCACGAGACAATTCCTTTACCCGAATCAATTTTCAGGAGGCACCGCAGCGTTGCTTCACTAAGCTGTAACGGACCGACACCTCAGAGACTGTAGCGTTCTAAAAACGTATTTTTTATTTACTGTTTGTTTCACTAAAAGGCCTGAAAAATTAAATATTCAGACCAGAAATTTAAAAAAAGTTCTGCTACATCTTATTTAAGCTAATAAATAGGAACAAATGTTCGGCTGCTAATGTTTCAGAGGATCTAAATCGCAGCAGCGCGAGCACGGTAATATAATTTACTACCCAAAAAGTCACGTTGTAATAAACAAAGTGGAATAAATTGTTTTTTATTTGCTGAATAAACACGTTGAAGTAATAACTGAGCATAATGACTCGTTATTATTTATGTTTGTTTGTTTGTTGTTTGACCGCTCCACCTGCAGGGGGCAGTAGTCACATTCCTGTCGTTTACACTGCACGTGCACACAAGAGCTTGTTAGCTACAGCGGCCATCTTGAATTGGGCTGACTCCAAAAGTCGCTGATGAAAAGTTTGTGAGAAAGTATCTTTCCTTAAGATTTGTTCCTGTGGCTCAATCCTGACCCGAACAAAACCGGTACCTGACCCTGAACTCATCTCACCTCAGCATTAAACAGAACACGTTCTGCCCTATCAGAACCGGGCTTTGGTCCACATGAGGACTAGCTGTTTAATTGATAGGAACAAATGTTCAGCTGCTAATGTTTCAGAGGATCTAAATCGCAGCAGCGCGAGTAATAACATTTACTGCACAACAACAAGTCACGTTGGAATAAAAGAAGTGGAATAAAGAGGACGGGGACTGTCCCAGAGAATGTCCTGAAGAGGGGACAAGACACACCTTTTTGATTCAGGTTACCTTGTGAGGACCAATTTTACTAAAATAATGCATTGTGGGAACCAAAGCCTGGACCCCATGAGGAGCAGTCTCGTTGGTGGGGGGTGTCAGGGGTTAGGACTATGATGTGAATTGCAGATGGTTTAGGTTTAGGAGTGTACTAGTAATGGTTAGGAGTGTACTAGTAATGGTCAGGGTCAGGATGTAGAAATGAATGAAAAAATGAATGGAAGTCAATGCAAAGTCTCCACAAAGATAGAAAGACAAATGTGTGTATGTGTGTTCTTGTAAATGTACTTTGTGGGGACTTTGCATTGACTTCCATTCATTTTCTACATCCTGACCCTGACCATTACTAGTACACTCCTAACCATTACTAGTACACTCCTAACCAT